CAGTTTTCCCAGTCTAAAATGAAAACAACTCTGTGAAGCAAAACATTTGTTCCAGAACAGAATTTTTGAAAAGTCATCATCAAGGTTCCTTCAAAGGCTGCTTTTTACACAGGATTTATGATTAAGAGGTTAAATACCTAAAGAAAAATATTCAACAAGGTAAAACATTATTGCAATATACTTTGAACAAGCTTGCAGGGAGTGAACACATATTAAAGACTCTGTTTTTTTATATTTTTATTTTAAAGGTTTATGGGAAAAAACACAACTGAATATGAAGCAATCCTAACAGTATTATATATTCTAGTTGTCCTGTGGCTTTAAAATTGATTTTGGCTTATGTAGGTGGAAATATATCTCTGTTTTGCTTTCATTTCCCATGTGCAACATGCAGTATTTTTCAACCAAGAAAAAGTGTATTGTCTGAGTAATTTTTATGTGCAATATGTGTTACACCTGTGTAGCCTGGGACTAGTATCTGCTGAGCAGAGAGCATTGCTTTTTGTAGCTTAAATTTCTCTCTTTTTTTTTTTTTAATTTTTATTGATAGTTGTAAATTGGTTCGCTGGTCATGCAGATTGCAGAGTTAAAAATTGCTTATGGAATGACTATGTAGATTTTGGAAATAGCAGACAGTATAATATTTCTAATGTTAAAGCTGGAATTGTTTTGATATAGGCAAAAGCCCTTGTGTTATCATTTGCACTATACAGTTCCAGTCAAAAGTTTGGACACGCCAAGCTGCCAACAAAGGAGAGTGACAGAGTGTCACATCACATGACTTGGCTACCAGAGTGTCGTGGGGTAAGGTGTCGAGAGGTGTCAGGGTCGGGCAAAGACAACAAAACATCCAAAAAAAAACTTGTGATTTGTGATTTATTTAGGCATCAGCTCATGTTCTGGCTTCTCCCATCAAATGCTCCAAAAACAAGAGAAAAAATAAAGAAAACAACAAAGGAAAACTAATACAAATAACTATCAAACAAACAAAAAAAACAAGTACACCAGACTGAACTGTGGCCTCTAGTCCCCACACACCTAAGGACCTCCCACTCCGAGAGCACACAAGTAGCTGGGCCCCAAAAAAAAAAACTAACCCTTCCACCATCTTATAAACCCTTGTCCCCGCCCCTCTAATTGGGAGCTACCATTCCCCTTTGGATATAAGGGTACCATCCTACCACAAGGGACAAAAGGGCAATAAATATAAATAAAGACTGCTTCCACCCTTGCCGATCCTGCAAACAAAAACCTTGGGAGAAAGATACCAAAACAATTCATTATTGTGGTAAAATGCCACTGTCCCCTTAAAATACTGAGGACGGTTCCATACACGCAGCCTCACACAGAGCTAAAAACAGTAGAAATGGTTTTGGAGAAGTTTGACCAGAGAGTGAAGGAAAAGTGGGCAATGAATATTTAGCATATGTGGTATCTCCTCCAGCACACCTGGAAAAGCATCTCAGGAGGCCACCTCATGAAACTCACGTAGAGGAAACAATAGGGTCAGCCAGTATCTGGAGTAATTGGGGTTAAAGGCCTTGCTCAAAGGCCCAAAGGTGGGATCACTCTGCTGATCCAGGGATTTGAACCAGCAACCTTCTGAGTCCCAACCCATAGAGATGTCCCCCCCAAGAAATATATATATATATATATATATATATATTGTTTATTACTTTTATGGTCAATGCATAATTCCATATATGTTATTTTATAGTTTTGATGTCTTTTTATTATAAAATGTAGAGAATACTGTAGTACAGATAGGTGCAGATAGGAGTCCTTCTCATGTGCACCTTGTTCTGCAGCTTCCTGTATGGTCAATGGCCCAAAGTTCATTTTCTGTGGTGTCCAGTCCAGCTGACTTTGGGCCCGTTAGGTAGAAGACCTGCCAGTAGGGATGGGATGGGTCAGCTTGTGGAGCTTTTTGTCCTGTTTGACTAAATTAGGATTCAGTGAGTCTTGACAAAATTCCTCTGTAGGGATTTTAATTGCTTTGGCCCCTGAATGTTCATTGATTCAACTTCTAACCACTTATCTTGTTGAGGGTCACAAGGGCCCTGGAGCCTATGTCAGACCCAGGTGTGGGTGTACTCTGTACAGGATGCCATATATGCAGTCGTACCCTATGGCCAATTCAGAGAAAGCAAAATTAACTGAACTGCATGGCTTTGGACTGCAGGAGGAAACCAAAGGAACCCCATTTTACATGAAAAGAATAGTATTTACAGTTTTATTTGGCACAAGTTTTCAGCAGTACACAGCAGTAGCCTGTTGTGTGTTTCACTTAAAACTGCAAAAAGTACCACCACACCACCCATGTCTGTTTGCCTTATTTATCCACAATATCTCCTTTTTTAAAAGATGATGTGGGTGTTGAGCTGTCGATTTCTTCACCAACACTTGAAGCGCCCTCAGAAATTTATCAAAACAGTAGCATGTGGCGTGATCTGTTAACTCAATTAACCTGGCTCTGCGTTTTTAAGGTTGTCCATTCTTAAAAGCTTACCATATGATTGGCCACGACTCACCGGTTGAGAAACCCTGATTTAGGATGTATTTGTAAAGAATAAATTCATTTGTGAGATATTTCACATGAGATTTCTCAAACAACTGCTTATTCCAAATTATCTACAGAAAAAATGGGTTTAATTTTTTTTAATTGATAAAACACATTTACAATTTAATTTATGTTGTGATTTATATAGCTATTCTAGCTGTTACAGTTACAATTATGTGCAATTACATAACAAAAGAAACCATTTTCATTTGATATTTGAAACAAATTTCAATGTACCGATGTGATCACAGTAGCTAGACAAATGTCTTTTTTCGCGAATGTCAACTACTGCAGAACAAAAAGAATTGTGTCAAAGTATTGATTTAAGTTCCTGTTACAGTCTCTCAGCCTGTGTGAGCATTTCACCACATTATCACCTCTAATGGTGGTAATTAGATTTCCTTACAGATCCTGCTTAAGGTGTTTTGGAGGGATTTAGGAGGTGGGGTTCTTAATCATTAAGTAAACTGGGGTGGTGAGAGCAGTTTCAGTAATTAGCAATAAGATAAAAACAAGTCAGCTGGAAGAACATACTGATGTTTTGGCATTAGTGAGACCATATACAATATATGGTCAAAAGTACTGGACAGCTAGCCATTACAGATAGATAGATATAGATAGATTAGATAGATAGATAGATAGATAGATAGATGATAGATAGATAGATAGATAGATAGATAGATAGATAGATAGATAGATAGATGATAGTACTTTGTTAATCCCTTGGGAAGGTTCCTCCAGGAAATTTACAGGAACCTTTATCACATCCCATTCCATATCCTTAGGCATCAATGTGGAGTTGGTCCCCCCTTTATAGCTATAACAGCTGCGACTCTTCTAGAAAGGCTTTCCACATTTTGGAGTGTGTCTATGGAAATGTTTGCCCTTTCATCAAGAAGAACATTTGTGAGGTCAGACACTCTTGTTGGACCTTAAGGCCTGGCTCGCAATCTACGTTCATCCCAAAGGTGTTAAATGGGGTTGAGGTCAGGGCTCTGTGCCAGTCAAGTTCTTCCACACAAACTCACCCAACTATGTCTTTTACACTGGGGTACAGTTACCCTGGAACAGAAAAGGGCCTGCCCAAAACTGTTCCCAAAATGTTGGAAGCAAAACGTCTTGGTATGGTGAAGCATTAAGAGTTCCTTTCACTGGGACTAAGGGCCTAAAACCCTGAAAAACAACCACATACCATTATCCCTCCTCCACCAAACTTCACAGTTGGCACAAGGGGCGTTGCTAGAGATTTTGGGCCCCATGAAAGCATATCATATTAGGCCCCCCAGTCCAAACCAATCCAGTTATTTTCCTAATTTTTTAGGGCCCCTGTCGCTCAGGGGCCCTTGGAATCGTCCTAGCTTTCCTCCCCCTTACGGCGCCCCTGGTTGGCACAGTGCAGCCAGGCATCTGCCAAACCCGGACTTGTCCATCAGACTGCCAAACAGAGATGTGTGATTCAACACTTCACAGAACATGTCCCCACTGCTAGAGAGTCCAGTGGTGGCATGGTTTACACCACTCCATCTAAAGCTTGACATTGCATTTGGTGATGTGCGCTTGCATGCCATGGTTGGTCATGGAAGCCCATTCCAAGCGCACAGTTTTTAATGCCAAAGGAAGTTTGCAACAGAGCACTGGTGACTTTTACACACTATGTGCCTCAGCACTCCTCGACCCTGCTCTGTGAATTTACATGGTCTGCTACTTCACGGCTGAGTTTCTGACTGCATGACTAGGTGCTTGATTTTATATACCTCTGGCGATGGGTCTAAATCAGAGGTGCCGGAGCCCTGCACAGTTTTTGGTTTACCTTCATTTAACACACCTGATTTAACTCCTTGTGCTAATTATCACACAGCTCATAAGCTAAATCATTTGTGGTGGAACAAGGAAAGAGCTATGCTATGCAGGGCTCCGGCCCCCAAGGACTGGAGTTTGACACCCCTGGTCTAAATGAAACACCTAAATTCTATGATTATCAGGTGTGACCCAATAGTTTTGTCCATAATGCATTTCAGAGGATCACAAGCAGGTAATGTCAAGGATAGTGAACCCACGTTTATGTGTGGATTCACTTCACACTGTGCATTTGTCAAGGCAGCTTGGCTTATTATTTAGCTTTTTTAGGTCCCTGTGTTCATGTCAAGCTCAGATATGGGGTACTGTCTGGCTCTGTGAGTGGAAGATCTGTACCTGTGTTTGGAAAACCACAAGTTTGAAACAGTTTGAGACTGAGATGGGGCAGCAAAGTGACCCGATGCACTGATAGATCAGATGGAATATTTATATAATGATTAGTGTGCATGAGTTTGAGGACTGGTCATACAATTGTTTAGATTGACTATACTCAAGAGAACAAAGCAAAAGCAAAGACACAACAATCAATCAAAACATTTCATTATGAATCCTGATGTAGCCGTCTTATCTGCCCCATACCCAGGTACTGCGCCTGATCGATGATCGATGCCATGCCGGTGCTTTCTGCAGGTGCAGGTGAGACTTCCTATAACACTGAGCACATACCACTCTGCTCACCTCACAAATCATTATCTAATACATAGTATTGTTTAAACTAATGTTTTAATGCAGTGGTTCCCAAAGTAGGGGTCGCGACCCTCTGGGGGGTCGTGAGACATTGAGGGGGAGGTCGCGAGATGATTTCCAAGAAATCAAATATTTTTTTTAAAACTATTAGAAATAACATTTTATCAACATTTTAACATTTTATATTAACATTTTATCCATAACTAACAAAAGATAAAAACTAGTAGTTAACAGTTACATTTAAAAAAAACATGCAAATTAAAAAGCCATCAGCCTTTCAAATTTCTTTCCGTTTGATCGCGACCCCTGAGGTGATTACGAAAGATTAACGTCACATCAATAGCGTCAGTTGCAGCAGAATTTACAGCACCATGTTAAACATTCCGACATGTGCACGTAACGTGTAGGTAATTTTCATCGCTTTAAGCTTAGGATATTATTTTTGTTGAAATGAAACGAATGAGTAAATAACAATTTAAAAAAAAGTTATATGGTTGTTAGAGCGTTGTGTTCTTTTGTGTTGTCATGCTCTTGTTTGGATAGGATATTTTGTTGAAATTAAACAAATGAGTAAATTACTATTTAAAAAAATTATATGGTTGTGTTCTTTTGTGTTGTCATGCTCTTGTTTGGATAGGATATTTTGTTGAAATTAAACAAATGAGTAAATTACTATTTAAAAAAATTATATGGTTGTGTTCTTTTGTGTTGTCATGCTCTTGTTT